TTATCTACTCTTTGCATGTTATTAGTCTATATTCTTTGGTGCATTATTTAATTAAGTAAAAAATTATTTAGTGTAATAGTACCAATTGTACAAAAAAAGTAGGGTTAAGTTATCATCAACAGCTGAAAGCAAAAAAAAACAGATATTCTACTAAGTACTTTATTTCTTGTTTTTCATGTGTATTATTTATTTGTTATTGTAAAAGTAACTAAAATGTAAAAATTAGAAACTTATTAGATTAGATATAGTTAGATTATGCAAGATAAAGAAAGATAATAATATAATGTTTCATGAGGTTTGTTCATGAGCACTTCCGAGTAATTCATGAGTTGCATAAATCGATAGGATAGTGTTAGCTATATGTTTGCCATGTGATTTATAACTTGTTTGGTGGGTATATTAGTTTAACACAGTTCAAAAGGGCAAGGAAACAAGATTTAAGTAGAAACAGATGTATATTGCTATGAGTTTAAAGCTATTTAGAATAAACAAATGTTGTTTCATGTTACAATTTGAAGTCACTCCAAAAAGATAAAAAGGGTAATTTAGATTTATTTCATATTCTTTTATGGTGGTTATGAGGTCAGTCAATTCGTATAGAGTTAGGGTAGAGAAAATAACAGATAAATTATGAAGTTTTACTTTAAAAAAAAACACTTGAAATTAGTTTAGGAGGTTTTAGATATTATGCAAATGAAATTTGAGAATTTTCAAATGAAGAAAAATGTTTTTAATTTGATCATTAAAATCACTTTGCACTTGAAGCAGTCAACACTTTGACAATATATAATATAATCATGGAAAATTTTTTAGTGAAAATGCTTCATTAAAAATTCTGATTTTTTGTGTACAAAAGGCTTAATGCTTACAGAAAGCTTGCAAAATTATGTGACGATAAACAAAACATACTAAAAGTTACAGTATGAAAATTATTAAGGTCAATTAGGGGTCACAACTCAGCTGAGTTGGCCAAGCCCAAAGAAGGTTAATACAGTGGCCTTGTTGATGTCCTCTTAAGATCATTGTCTTGATAGTATTGTCTTTCTATGGTTGTCTTGTTCCGTTGATGTTCTCTTCCTACTAGTGATATTTTTACATCCTCTTACGAGGTTCTTCATAGGATTTCAGAACTAAGGGGTGAAATATCCTGGATTGTTGAATTCTGAGTGTTAACACTTAAATTATTAGAGTGACGATGATGCCCTCCTGTAACAGTTGCCTTATTTTCATATCACACATGTACTATTTTAGTTTTGGATCTCTTTAGTGTGTATACATGTATATGTGTTGATGTTTGTGACTTTGTGATGGGGTGGAAATTAAAACAATTGTAGTCTGTGTCATTGTGATATACTCTGATGAGTACTAACTTTAAAACTGGTAGAAGTTGTCAATTTGCATTGATTTTGTTAACATTCTTTTAGCATGGCCATCTTGTTGACATCCACTTTGTTCAATTGTCATGTTGAAATCTTGTTAGTATGGTGATCTTATAGTTGACCTATACTTTGCACATATGATTACTTTGTTTTTTTAATACCTGGATGGGTGAAGTGTACCTCAAAGACAAAATTATACCATTCAATTAAAAATTATGAAAAATAACTTTGTATTAATTTTCCACACAATAAAAAAAATAGAAAACTCGGAGCTGAAATTTATCCTATGAAAATGTTTTATGTATTTAACTTTATATAGAATAATAAAAAAAATCTCATATTTTAATTTTGAGTTAATTTCAGGAAATTCCCAACTAAATCATAATTTTAAATAAAAGTTAATAAAACGAGACATCAACATTTTTTACTTGCACAATAATTTATTTGTAACGTTTAAAAATGTAAGTTAAAAAAAATTGTTTTCAATTACATTTTCAGTGGAAATAATTCCACCATCTTGAGGAGAATAAACCACAAAGTACACATGAAGTTTCTTAGAAACCAATCAACGTATGTGTATAACTAGCATGTTTTTTACAGTGGCGCCATTACAACACTGATTTCTAAAGATTCCATGGCTTCTGGGCCTAAATCTCTATTTATATTCATTTTGTTTTTAACAATTTCTAAGGATTCTCTAATGTTTAGTTCATCTTTTTCCGTTACCTGTTAAAGTATTTTAACATTATCCCGGTCAATAACATGTAGAATTCACCACATGTTCTGCCAATACAGATTCACCTATTTTTAATTTATTCTCTGCTTTTTGATGTTTTTCTTATTCAAAATTTTAAGTTCCTACTTGTCTGTACAATAATTCTATATGCATTTGATCAATTTGACTAACATTATAACAACCATAGAAAAATACAAAATAAATCTAAATTACCCTTTTTTCTTTCTAGAATGGATGCAAATTGTAACAGGAAACTACAGTGCATTATCCTAAATAGTTTAAAGCTTGTAACAGTATACATCTGTTTCTACTTAAATTTTATTGCTTTATTGCCCTTTGAACCATGTCTAACTAATAATTCTGTCATACAAGTTCTAAATTACTCAAGGAACATGTAGCTCACTTTACCTTATCAAATTATTTAATGCACAAGCTTCTCACGAGCATGCCTCATGAAGAATTTTTAATAATATTATTCTTTTTTTTTTTACCTAACCTAGTAAGTTTTACTTTTTACATTTTAATTACTTTTATAATAATTGAATATTTTATGATAATAAATATAGAATAAACATGAAAAACAAGAAATACAGTACTTACCTGGGTCTTTTTTTTTTTTGCTGTTGACTTTCAATCAAACTTAAGCTTACTTTCTTATACAAATGGTACTACTACACTAAATCATTTTTTATTTTATTAAATAATGCACTTAAGAATGCAGAATAATAACAAACAAAAAGCAAACAGTGTCATGTTACTACTATAGTTTGTCTTGCTTTCTAATTATTGTGTTAGGATAATGGTATTTTTATATCCTGTTAATGTCATGGATTTATGATTGTCTTGTTAACCTCATCTTAAGTATACTGACCTTACTCTACTTTTATTACACTGATGATGACTTACTGTTAGTACAGTGATCTTGTTTCTGTTCTGTTACAGTGGTGTTGTTGATGTTCTGGTACATTGATCTTGTTTCTTTTCCTTTAGTACTGTTATGTCTCTGTATGTTCGTTTGTTAATTTTCCTGCGATACAAGTCCTTTCTTAGATAAAACTAGTTTATTCTTCCCCAATACAACTTTGCAATATACTTAATTTCCACAGTTACTTTAACTTAAACACACGCTATAATTCACAACAATTCACTCACTTTACTACCGCGCTTGACTTAATTGTCCATCTATATCTCCGACTGTCAGCAACTATAGTACCGATCTCTGTATCTGCTATCCTCGGTTCCCACCGACCATAACTGCTGTTCTTGGTTCCCACTCTCCCTCTCTCCCTTTGTCTAGTGCACTTATATACAATAATACTGCCCACGTAGCCTCTTCAAGAATCTTCTAGACACTCATCATGTGCTACCAGCGTCGCTTGACTTCCGCTGTCGTAACAGTATAGTAGTGTTGTTGGTCTTCTGGTACAGTGGTCTAGTTTCTGTTCCTCTAGTACAGTAGTGTTGTTTCTGTTCCTCTGGTACAGTGGTGTTGTTTCTGTTCCTCTAGTACAGTGGTGTTGTTGATCTTCTGGTACAGTGATCTTGTTTCTGTTCCTTTAGTACATTGGTGTTGTTGATGTTCTAGTACATTGATCTAGTTTCTGTTCCTCTAGTACAGTAGTGTTGTTTCTGTTCCTCTGGTACAGTGGTGTTGTTTCTGTTCCTCTAGTACAGTGATCTTGTTTCTGTTCCTTTAGTACATTATTCTTATCGGCATCCTCTTATTATAGTAGTGTTATTGATGTTCTGTTACAGTGTTCTTATTGGCATCCTCTTAGTACAGTAGTGTTGTTGATGTTTGGTACAGTGGTGTTGTTTCTGTTCCTCTAGTACAGTGGTGTTGTTGATGTTCTGGTACAGTGTTCTTGTCTCTGTTCCTCTAGTACAGTAGTGTTGTCGAAGTTCTGGTACAGTGATCTTGTTTCTGTTCCTCTAGTACAGTGGTGTTGATGTTCTGGTACAGTGATCATGTTTCTGTTCCTCTAGTACAGTGGTGTTGTTGATGTTCTGGTACAGTGATCTTGTTTCTGTTCCTCTAGTACAGTGGTGTTGTTGATGTTCTGGTACAGTGTTCTTATTGTCATTGTCTATTACAGTAGTGTTGTCGAAGTTCTGGTACAGTGATCTTATTGTCATCATCTTATTACAATAGTGTTGTTGATGTTCTGGTACAGTGATCTTATTGTCATCATCTTATTACAATAGTGTTGTTGATGTTCTGGTACAGTGTTCTTATTGTCATCGTCTTATTACAATAGTGTTGTTGATGTTCTGGTACAGTGATCTTATTGGCATCCTCTTAGTACAGTGGTCTTTTTGTTATTACATTAGTGAGTGATCTTTTTTGTGTCCTGTTATTATCATGATTTTTTGATATTCTGGTGGTATGTTGGACTTGATGATGCCCTCTACATGTTTACAGTTGTCTTGTTGATGTAGTGATATTGCTGTTCTTTTGCCAATATGTTTACAATTGTTTTATGAACAGTTAATATACTAGTTGATGTACTCTTAGTATAATGGCTTTGTAGGCATTTTGTTACTATAGGTATCTGTTGGCTGTTGTTTTAGCATAGTGGTCTTGTTGATGCATATTAGTGCAGTGAGCTTGTTAACCTATACATTAGAGTTATTTTAATATACTGTTAAGTATAGTATCCTTGTCAGTATAGTGACCTTGATGGTGCAATGTCAGTACAGTGGTCTTGTTGATATTCTGTTACCACAGTTTTCTTGTTGGAATCCTGTTAGTACAGGATATTTGTTGATGCCTTGTTAGGATGTTAATCTTAGTTTATATTAATATACATATGAGCAGTGAGAAAAATTAATCTTTTTAGATAATAAAAAAGAATTAAATAAATGTATAATGTTTTAAATTTTCAATTTTTATGTGTATACCTGAACTTTAATTTGAAAAATATATTTTTAGCATGGTGAAGCTGGAGGCATGTTTATTTGGATTTGTTTGGAAAGTTTAGTTTGTATATTGTTTTTTAGGTATAAAGACTTATGTCTGTTAGTATGCCAAGGTAATATGCACTTTTTTTTTACTAGGCTACATTACGTGTGATGCAAAGTGTCCTTAGTGCAGCTGGTTTACCAGATGCTCAAACTCTTTTCTGTCAATTCTTCAGTTGCTTATTTGGATTAGTAAAGTTTTGTTGCTCAGAAGAACAACCTAAACACAGGTATAAACACATATCTTTATTCAAATAGCATATAAAATTTTCGTTTGATTTCAAGTCCAGTTTTGACTATTAAATAGTCCACAATATTAGCTTTAGTTGTTTGTTTGCATTTCAAATTTACTTTGCTAGAGGTTAGAGTTAAACATAATTAATTTTTAAAGTTTCTTTTTATTGCTGGTTTGCTAGTTCTTCTGCATGTTAATTCAAGTTAAAATAATAAATAATTCTGATTTGTGAATGACTTAAATAAAATTGAAAATAATTACACTTCACTTACTTAATCTTGTTCACATCATCACAGTTTTTGCTCATGCAGCTAATAATCTAAATAACACAAGACCACTACTATGTCAGTCAAATCCAAACCAGCATGATGTGCCCTTGTATTGGTGAAAAGCCTCACCAGCATTGGAAATGGCAGATATACTGTGATTGACATATTCTCCTTTACTTAACTTCATAAGTTCTTAGAATTGCTTATATTAATTTTTTTATAATTAAATTGAAATAAGAGTATAAAGACATTACATATTTGATAAAACATAAATTTAGATAATATTTTTAACACATAATTTTCAGATATGACAAAAATATTTTGAAGAAGTTTTGGCCAAAGTAGATTGTAATGGATTTAAACTTTTTCTGGATTGCATTTGGCAAGAGTTTAAGAGTGGTTGATACTTTGGTCTCTGCATTGAGGACTCGCCAAAGAGACCAAAGCATCCAATCCTATGCTTAAAATATATGCAATCCATAAAAGCTTAAAAAAATAAGAACAAAAGTATTTTAAGGAACTTCTAAAAAATAAAAAAATTTGAAATGGAAAAGCAATTTCATGTTCTCAAAAGTTGGAGAATAATTGTTTTCTTTCCTCAATTCTTGAAAGCAACAAAGAAGAATTAGAAACTCATCTCAGTTCAGTGTTGGAGAAGACAGTCTGTGTTCTAGATTATACACCATTGATATATTCAGTGGATGGAACAATATTGTATCATACTGCCATTGACCTGGTTGAGGTGAGAGCTTCTGATTAATTTTATCATTGAGCTGTAAATTTTTAAAATTTGTGGTGAAAATGTGATAAAGCTGAGAGATTGCTGTCATGTTTTTTCAGCTTTTATTTTTCAGTGTATAATATATGATTATTTAAACCTTTTTAACCTAGAGATACAAAGGTCATCACTAAGTTCATGCTTCTGCAAAACCTGGATATCTTGTAAGTATTTTCATATTTGGTATACAATCACTTTTATGATAAAAAAGTAATTAACATTTTGCAAAATTTTAATTTTTTAAAGATGTTTCCTGATTAGAAAAACTTAAAAATCAATATGAGTAGGTGCTACATGGCTACTGTGTGACCACAGCTTCAACCACTGTATTGCTCTCTTTTGTAGAATGTAATGGTAGCTGCTTTGGAACTAACAGCTCATAGTCTTGAGGGAAGGTACTCCCTTATCAAAATAAAAACTATTAATCAGATTGGCTGAAAAGATAAGAAGGTGGAGCCCTTATAATCCATGGAGTTGAAGAGAAACCATTCATCTGCCAAAAGAATAAGACAGTTGTACTGACTTCTTTAAGATTATGTGACAAAGGCTTGTCACCTCCACTAAATGGATCAAATTTTACACTTTTGATAAAGAACACAGTGACCAACACATATAGAAGCTAGATTGTTGAAGAGGAAATAACCAGTGAATAAGATAATGCAAATAAGGCTAGCTCAGCATGGTTTCTCTATTATTTCAGCTTTCCAACAGAAATTGGTTCCATCAACACTGTCGGAACATTTTCTTTGACAACCTTAGAAGTCATTTTTTCACATTACATATCAACAACTTCACACCTGGTTGTAGTTAATCCTTTTTCAAAGAAACCAAATTATCTTTTAGAGTGCTTTATTGAATATACTTAGGAAGGAGTGCTCAAGCAGTTATCTGTCAGAACCCCTATGAGCCAAGACACACATTTCCAATGCTCTGGACTTTGTGCATTCTCCAAATTTTCAACAACTTACATCGTTTTTCATGTTTTTGTTTCATAATTATGGTTTTTCAGCTTCTTTCATAGCTGGTTTCCTTATCTGCCACCATCCTCCCTCCTCCCTTTGTTCAAGGACCTCTTGAGATCTTTTTGTTTTCAATAATCCTCAAGTTCCTAAACACACTTAAATGGGCCTTTGGCTTTTTACTCTTACATTTCTTGGTATCTTTAACTTTTGAACTATTGATAAACTGTTCACTGTTATCTATCCCTCAAAACATATTTTCTTTTATTGCTTGTATTGTAATATCTTTACCCTTGATGCTACATATACTTTGTTTTTTTGGGGAAGGCCTTATACATCTATCCAGTTTGCTCCTTCCCACCTAATTTTGAGTTGTGAAAGAAGGTGGCCATTTTTTTCACGTATTGTGTTACTTACCCTTTATGGTTCTGATTCTAGTTCTGAAGAATGGTTCTTATGTCCAGACAGAACTATTTATTTAACTTTTGTATGTAGGTTACATTTTGTGTTATAGTGGAATGTTCCTGAAAAAAGCTGTAAAGTGAAAAGTTAAGTGTCCAATTAAAGAACAATAATAAATTTGGTGTTATAGGGTTATGTGTTGTTACCTTGCTCATGATGAATCTTCCAGTAAGTCTCAGAAAAGATCATTTATACCATATGAAAAATCACACTTCTCAGATCTTGTTGTGGCTACATTGGCAAATTGACTTGTTCAGTTGATCTGACTTGTTCCTAATCACCTTAACCCTATCAGGATGATGCCATTTTTAAACCTCTTCATTTGGAAGTTTAATGATTTTCAAAATGTATTCTATGCTTTGCTTTGCTCAACCAGTTTTCATAGTTAGTGAGTGCAAACAACATTTTGCCGGAGGTTAAATCTACTCTTCCAATGTTAATGTTATATCATCTGTTGGCACCTGCTGATGTGTGTCAACATAATAAAAAATATAAAAAAACATGAAAGGAAAATAAAACATTATAAATAAACTACAAGTGAAAAGGTAAGATGTGAAATTATGCATATGAACCAAAGAAAATATTGTAAGATTATTCAACAAAGAAATAAAAGGTATGTATATATTTTCATTTCTTAATGTTAAACATTCCATTGCACTGTACATGAACGATAATAGCAAGAGTTAGTGATGCAGTAAAGAAAATGGCAAATATTAACATTTACCATAAAACTTCTGATATTCATTTAGGAGGTTCTAGAAATTATGCAAGTGAAATTTGAAAACTATAAAAAATAGTATTTCTATACTTAACATGAAAATCACCTTGCAGGTGAACTATTCAGAGACCAAGTGCAAATAATTACATTAAATAACAAATTCTTAATGGGAAAAAAACAGAAAAAATCAAAACTGAATATTTTATTTTTCTGAAACTACATACTTTTAGGAAGGGTATTGTCAATTTTCAAACAATTTAACCTACTAGTTTCATTTTGGTAAAGACATTTCACAAGAGTTATGTAACATACTTACAATATAGGTATGTTGTTCTAATAGGGTTAAAAGTGAATTTTTGGTTATTTCTCACCCAATTCACCATTTGCCAATGTGCTTGGCATCTTGATTGCAGTACCCTTTAGAAGTTATGTTTGCAGGACAGCATATGGATGAATCTAAATTTTTTCTGGAAATTTTATTTCATCATATTGCTTTATCTTCAGCTTGGGAATTCTCTTTTGTTTCTGACTCCTATTCTGTTGTGGCTACATTGGCAAATTGACTTGTTCAGTTGTGAGTTATTCTCTGTTTCTTGTTTATTTGCCACTTGGTCCCACACCTTGTATGGCAACTGAGGTAATTTTATACTGCCCAACACACTTGTTAGCAATTACTGGGAGCATCTGAAGCTGCAAAATATTTGATTATAAAACAACAACAAAAAAATCATAGTTTCTCCTTATGATATGAGACTCCATGTATGGATTAATCAACAAGGACTATAGTATGTAAGATATACCTTTGCACTTGCTCTAAGAATAATTCCACCCTCTATGCTGGAGCTCCAAGAGAGAGTGATGCTTTCTGAAAGTTGACAGAGGATGCTATTTGGTGGCTAATGGTGCCTCTGAAGATACCTTTCCTACCTTATGTAGCTTTCAAAACATTGGAGACAAGACACCTGTCTTATAATTCTTACCAGGATGGGGATCACCATATATCTGTCTTTTTATTTATTTTCTTAACCCTTATTGGTTTTCCCATTCCACTGTCATAGAGTGGTCAAGCTCATACTTGGGTCTGTCGAATCTGTTCAATGTTCCTTGGGTTCCAACTAACTTGGCCAATCTTTTCAGAGTAGAATAAAAGCATGTCCAGTTCTAAGTTATTACTGAGAATCTTCCATTACAGAGACAAGGTAATAGTTTGCACTCTGACCCTTCTCACCTGTTATTGCCTGAAAATTTCGATGGCTCCACAGGTTTTATTATTACTTCCCAACTCCCATTTATATTTATGTATTTCTTATTAATGGGTATACTTGATGAGAAAGTACCCTGCTGAAAAGAATGCCTTTCTGAGCATCTTCTCTTTGGTCCAGTCTCCTTGAGGTCAGTCAGCTTCACTAAATTCTCTCTCTGCCATTTACTATGGTTCAAAATTCCACTTAAACTCTTGAGACTTACCTTGTTTGTTGTTGCCTAGATTGTTACCTTCCTGCCTAAGAGCTCTACTTTTCAGGAATTGGTGTTCCATATGACACACTCTGGGTTCCATCTTCAATGGGATTCTGGCTTTTAGTATTTTGGAGAAAGGTCTAACTGATTTAACTTTTACATTTTTAGAATTAAAATGAATTTCAAACAGCTACATACCTCTGAAATATATTCCTACCCACCTCCCCACAACTGGGATAAATTCATCATAAATAGCATCTCATCCACTGTTGTGTCTGTCATATCCCAGATGGACTGATGAACCCTGGTATTGAACTTGTCAGCATGGATATATCAGTTGTGATGTGGTTGACATTTTGTTTTATGTTATTCTTTACTTTCATTCTTAGAACCACAACTGCAAACAGTGAATTCTTACTTATGGTGGGAAAGCTGGGCTTATCTTTTGGTGTCTGCACAATAAGTCACATGGAAGGTAGAACAGTGGAGAACACTTGGTATGTAGATGTATGCTTTTCATTGCATCAAGGATATTCAGAACTCAAATGTCATGTGGTTGTTGACAGCTTGAGATCAACTCAACATGAGGAAGCTTCGAGTATTTCAGAAATTACATCCTGTTTGAAATTGATTTTAATTCTATAAATGTAAAATTTCCTCTATCTACCACGATAATCTTAAGTTCATAAACATTCTGCATAAAAACTAAATTACTAACTTATAACTAGTGTAGACTCTAAAAAAAGACATTTTTCTGTTTTTTAGTGCTAAAGATTTTTCCTCTCTCATAAAAACAATAACTGCATTACTAATTACCACCTTAAATGTCACCCAAAAAAGAATGATTTTTCTTTACCTCTCATATTTGAGATTATCTATAGTTAGAAGTGATTTGTTTTTTATTCAGAAAAGGAAATTGTTATTCATTCAAACAAGCCAAAAACCTGTCAAGAATGTATGTTATAATTTGATTCCAACATGTTCATGAAGAAAACAACAATTGTTTTTAGAGTAGTTATATGTAACAAAGCTGGTAGCATAATTGTTAAACTGATCAAACTTACAAATATACTTACAAATATAACCACAGAAATTTAGTTTTAAATATTTTAGAAGTGTTTTATACCAAAATGTAGAGAAATTCAGAATTAAACTTTAGTTTTGAAAATGTGTTTCAAGGACTAAGACACAGATTTTGTTTTAGTACTTTTTCAATTAATAAGATGTTTACATCTATAGAAAGTAAAGCACAAGAATATTTTATGATATAAACTTTTTGTTTATCTACTTGCTAAGTTGTAGTTTCAAATAAGTTAAATATTACAACTTTAGACCTGAGAGTTTATATACAAAGAAAGAGAATATGAGCAAGAAGAAAAATAAACTTTACAGATTCTTTTTTGAATTATTTTTATAAGGTATAGGCACAAAATGTTAATGAAGAGAAAATACTTTATCGCTAGTACATTTTTTAAAGTTAAGGTTATTCATTTACATTTCCTTTCACTGAAGCATTTCTGTAAGTATTTTCAAGCCAAATTTTTTGAATGTATGTTAACTAGTTGAAATAAACATTCTTTCAGATTTTAGATAGTTATGGTTTATATCACCTTACAAGTGGAAAACTTAGAGTTACAATTGTTGACACACTTACTTACCTGATGGGGTACCTTGAGAGGAGAAACTTTTCTATTCCCAAAAAATTGATAGAATCTCTGAGTGAAGTGCTATTAAATCATTGTGGAAAAATAGTAGACTCACAGGTAAGATGTACTGCAGATTTGAAGGGGTTTTTCAAATACAAAACTTGTATGTTTGTAATTGATAAAGGTCTTTTGTATGACTATAGTGTATTTTTCCATTAGAAATTAGACAAAGTTGAGTATGTCTATTATATTTTAAAAAAAGATGAATAGATAAGTATATTTGTATGCTTGTATCATATTTTTATTGTGTTTACATTTATGTTTTATACATTATTCTTTTATCTGAAACTATAGTAAAAATCTTTCATGACAGACCATTAGTTGGGTACAGCCTAGTAGTTAATGTGTCCAAACTGTGAATCTGAGTATTTATTATTTATAACTCATTACTACAAATATGTGCTTTGTTAAGCTCGTGCATGTACTATAAGTGTAACTGTCAGATCTCACTATCCAACTATGCTGTTGCCTACCTACCTTCCTTCTAGTCTAGTACTTCAGAATTAGAGACAGCTATGTGCATATAGCCCTTTCATAGTTTCCACAAAATTCAGAAATGAACCAAGTGTAAAAGAGCAGCATTTTTTATATATATTTTTTATTTTTTGGTTAATTAATGCTTGTGTGCACATTTACATTGGTTTGAAGATAAGGTTTCATTAACATTAACAAAATGTTCTATTACTTGGGTTTCTTCAGTTCAGACATTACACACTACTCTTATATTAAAAAATATAATTTAAATTTATATGATTTATTTTTCTTTCAATTTACAAATTTTGAATTATTATTGAAATTAAATATATGTATATATGCTTTGTTCAGTGTGTCAAGACTACATTATTGTATATACAAAGAAAGGAGCTCCAGCAGTTGTCTGTCAAAAATCTTATGACTCAAGAAAAACCTGTTCAACATCAAGCATCCACAAGCAGGTTATCCAGCAAAAGAAAGAGAGTTATTGATGACATAAAAGGAGGAGAACCTTTGAAGTGAGTTATGATGTGCAATTTTTGTTATATACATTTAGTATTCAGTTGTAATTTTTAAAATATTGATAGTGTGTTTGGCTATGTAAATTTAGACATTTCTGTTACAGTGCTTTATTGTCTTACTTTAAGTATAAAAATGAAAACATACATAGATAAAATATATGTAATGATCTTCTATTGTGGTGTCTGCTCTTTTCTATTTCTAGCATTGAAATATGATGATTTGTATGTGAGGCCCACAATAACTGTAGGGTACGTGGGAGTGCAAGGTTTTTGGCCTGTGAAAATATGTTTTACATTTAGAGGGCAGCACTGAATGAGAATAACTATATATGTGAGAAGTGGTAAGTACCCATCAAAAATATATTTTCAATATAGGAAAATTGTAACTTCCCGATTTGGCATTCATGTGTGCAATCGTATAAAATTTTCACTCAGTACATGGTGTTTTTTATTCACTTTAACTTTTTGCTACCTTTTTGACAACTTTTAAATTTGTTGTTATTTATTTCTTGTGGAAAGGTTTTCTTTTTCCACATGATGAACCCTCAGTTTTATGTAATAATTACAACTTCTGGGATGGATTTTTCCACACTTATCATTACTTTAGCTTCAAGCTCCACATTTTCAGTGGAAGAGGTCTAGGCCTTGGCACACTTATCTTGATCAGTTTTGTTCCTCCATATGTTAAAGCTTTGTTGTTGGTATTTCCTTGGCAGGATGCCCTTTTGTTACATGTGTGCTTTCCTGCTTCTCATCTGCATGACCTTTGCCTGGCTTCTTTCTTGCACTAATCTGTTTTTGGAGATATATCTGATATTTTAGAATCGCAAGTAGAGGCTGAGCAACAATATTCCTGTATTTCCTCTCTTGTTTCTCGTCTTACCCAATCCTTCCGTGTGTCTCACCTTACAACATCCTTTCCTTTACAGCTGTGAATCATCAGATTGCCCATTGTCGCCCTTTCAGATGTCAGGATTCTCAGTGACTATCCCTTGGGTTTTGGCCTCATGGAGACTCGTTTGGCCAGGTTTGCTTATCCGTGGTTCCCTTTTATAGCAGATTCTTGGGTTCTTAAAATGCTAATAGAAAGGAGGACTATTTGTGTTTCTACATTTCTTTCCCTTCTTCTTGAGATCCACTTTTTTGCCAGTGTTTCTCAGAGGTGGTTTTGGATCTCATGCAGAAAGATACTATCAAGCAAGTATTTCTCCCTTCCATGAGATTTTATTCCCACCTGCTTGCAGTTCCTATGGAGTCTTTTCTCAACCTCAGAATGGTCGCTCATTCCAGGTCTTTGGATGACTAAGAATGATGTCTTGGATGCTTAGCTTCATATCCTTTCTTCTTCTGCATCTTGATGTTTCCTTTGGTTTGTTGATGGGGGTCAGGTTTTTCAATTCCTCGCTCTACCATTTGGTCTGGTATTGACTCTGTACATCTTCTGTCATGTACTCAGAGCCTTTGCCTGTCATATTCATGACCTGGGACTGCAATTTCACTAATATAAGAATGACTGGCTCTTTTTGGTTCCTTCCAGCAATCCTCTTGCAACCACACCCATCTCCTCATTTGGGATGGCTTGTCAAACTGGAGAAGTTGCATCTCACCCCCACTCAGTATCTTATTCATCTTGGGGTGTTTTTCAACTCCTACTTCAGCAGGGCCCAGCCTTCTCTTCTGTGTTTGAAGGATATGGAGTGCTTGGTATCCAAAGCCAGGATTTCTTCTTCTCTTTTATGCATGAGGTTCTCTCTTTTCTGGAAACCTGGGCTTCCATGGAATCCCTCATCCCTGTGTGTCGTGCACACATGTGTTCTCTTCAGTATGTATTGTATGATCAAGAACTTTACTTGGAATCCCTTGGACTCCTCCATTTTTCTTCCTTTCACCCTTCAAGTCAACTTTACCTAGTGGCTCAACAGAGACAGTCACCTTGGTTGACATTCCTCCTCCTTGTCCTGATTTTCATCTCTTTTTTTGGATTCACTTCTGACTGAATAACATAGCATTTTGGGACAACATGGGACCTATTGGTCCATCTAGGCTGTTCCATCCTCTAAACTAAACTAAAATTATTAATAAGTATATATTTTTTAAAAACCTTAAGCTAGCCCTTATTATTCATATACCTATCAAGCTTTCTCTTAAACTCACTTAAATTTACTACCTCCGCAACATCTGAAGGCAACCCATTCCAAAGACCAACCATCCTATTAGAAAAATAAAACTGTCTTAGCTGAAGATGTCTCCTACCCTGCAAAAATTTTATTTGTGTCTCTTTAGTCCTACTATTCTCACTGTTATGTACATAAAAAGATGATGCATCAACTCTATCAATTTCCTTTACAATCTTAAACACCTCAATCAGATCCCCTCTAACTTCTTTTTTCAAGAGAAAACAATTTCAAGTTTTCAACCTCTCCTCATATTGACAATCCCTCCATCCCTTCTCTGAACCATTTCCAACAATCCAATGTCTTTCCTAAGATAAGGAGCCCAAGACTGAACACAGTATTCCAAATGTGGCCTAACCAATGACACTGTTAAGGTTATTCCCATCCACATTATACTTATAATTCAAATTATGATGACCCACATGCATTATCTTGCATTTATCATGATTAAAACCCATTTGCCATATATTTGCCCAACTTACTATATTATATAAATCCTTTTGTAAATCAGCAACATCCTCTTCACAGCTAGAAACACCCAAGACCTTAATATCGTCTGCAATTTTACGTAATTTATTGATCATTCTTTCATCTATGTCATTGATGTAAATCAAAAAGAGCAAAGGTCCTAAGACTGAGCTCTGAGGTACCCCACTTGTGACATTAATCCAGTTTGACTGAACTTCATTTCTAACAACCCTATGCTTTCTTCCATCCAGCCACTCTTCTGTTCAATTTTGTAACTTATCCCCGCACCTATAAAGATATTTTTTTACAAGCCTTTTATGTGGCAGCTTGTCAAATGCTTTCTGAAAATCCAGATACACCAAATCCACACTATTACCCTCATCGACATAAGCAGTAACCTTTCCAAAGAATGTCAAAAGATTTGTAAGGCAAGATTTTCCCTTAGTGTTGACGATCCAGTAAAATTCTAAACTTTCTTAAATGATTTTCCAAAGCATCTTTTATCAGACTTTCCAAAACCTTTCCCACAACTGATGTAAGAATAATGGGTCTTACAATTACTGGAACAATTTTTATCACCTCCCTTGAAAAAAGGAGTGACATTAGCTAACTTCCAATTCTCTGGTACCGGCCGACTATTCAAGGACTGACAAAAAATAATAGCAAGTAGCTCACATGTTCAATTCTTAACCTCCTTCAAAACCCTTGGGGAAATATTATCTGGCCCAGGAGTCTTATCCTTCTTTAAACTTCTAAATTTTTTCTTAACCAGCTCAGAATTAATGCAGTCATCTTGTTTGATCTTGTTTCCATGTATCAACTGTTCAATATGTGAAATACTGCTTAAATCTTGGTTAGTAAAAACCAAAGACAAAGCATAATTTAATAACCCAGCCATCTCATAATCATAAGATACGAGCCTCCCTCTATCATCCCCCAAGGGTCCTACCCCCATCCTAGCAATTTTGGTTACAATTTAAAGAAATCCCTATTGTGAATTTTTACATTTTCAGTCAACCTTTTCTCATACATTCTTTTTGATGTGATAAATTCCTATTTCACCAACTTTCTTGATCTTTTGTAATCTTCTAAATCTCCCACCACCTTTCTTGATCTTCTATAATCTTCTAAATTTCCTGTCATACC